TTTTTTTTTTTTTTTTTCGTAAGTGCTGCTTACATTGAAAAATAATTAATAGTATTGAAAAAGAATAAGTTACAATTTGACAGAAGCGTGAATGCAATAAATGTTTTTACTTGGTAAGTGTTTACGACATCCACAAAATTATTGGGCTGGCGATGTTGGATTTACGTAGCCGGCCGTATAATATACATGTATGTAATTGTAAGGGAAAATAAACGCGAGTTAAATTTCTTCCCTTGAATAAACACCGATTTCTGTAATCTGCCGATTTTTTCGAGCCGAGACCACCTGTATCTTCGTTAAATATACTTATTTCATTGCATCGGGCGTACATAATGTATACACGAGCAGATCCTCGACAGTTGATGGCAAATTTAAACGTCTTCGCTTTATTTTTTGTATATGTATGTTGATAATACGATAATGACGGAGTCGCATACGAGTAAATTTATGCAAACAAGATAATGCGGTTGCGTATGGCATGTATAATAACAGCGCAGACGTCGAATGAAAACGAAATGAAGCTGTGTACTCGGCGAAAAGGAAAAGCCTTTCGGTGGCAGCAATCGAGCGAATTAAAGGCCGACAACTGCAGGGGTAATTTGTAATGGAGCGCGTACAAATTTTGATGTCACTCGTTCCCTGGAATTTTGACAAGTCGCGCACACGCGCCGGGCTCTCGGGGATCGGTTTCTCGGAAAAAATCGAGAAAACCATACGGCGACGCAAAGAAGGTGTATAGGGGGTGGGGGGAGTGAAAAAAAAAAAAAAAAAACGAAGAACCACACCACAAACCTGTCGTGGTGCAGCGCCGGTGTACCGGTTGTTCTCGCGATGCCGTTGCGAGTCACTTACCAGGAGTCTTTTTCCCCCGATGCTCGAATGGCCAAAAAAGCGTAGACGTGCGCGGAAAAATCGCCGAGGAACTCTGCGTGTGCGGGAAAACCAACTGGCTGGCTCTATGCCGATCGTTTTCTCCTTGCTGGTCGTTTTGCTTTTCAATTAGGTATCTATGGCTTCTATTTTTTTTTTTTTCTTAGTTTTTGGAAAAAAAACCAGACTACAGGATTTCACACATTTTTAGACTGTTTGGTATGGCAAAAATAAATCTACAACTCTGCGTTTCTTTTTACTTAATCACCGAGATTTCAGAAAATCCGGTCATTGGGAAATCAAACATTTTAAAAAGCAACGAGTACATCGGTGACAAGGCAAGAGCATACCTGGAATAAAAAGGTCCAAAAAATCATACCTTCAACCGCCATAGCCCTACTTACGCTCGAGCCTGCAGTCTTTTTCGGGTCACATATGCGCTATGTGTACCCGGGGCCACTCAATTAGCCGGAATTCGCTNCCCACCGCGAGGCGGACGTCGCGCGCCTCGTTATCTGGGGCGTCGGATCGACTTTCCGCGCGGACGACAGCCTCCTTCCTCTGTTTTCTCGTTTCTCTCCAGCAAGTGTATCCATACATGCCCGAGCCGGCGTAATAAATCCGCGCGAGACTGCGGTGCCGCATGACATACATATACGCAGGTATAATATACATGTTAGCATGGAATTGGGCAACGCTTCGCAATTAAGGAATCAATTCTAGGCAGACCCCCTGCTACTCCAGCCCCCTTTTTATTTATTTTTTTTTTTTTCATAAATTTTGGTATTTTTCTCATTTTAATTGATACGATTATTGCGTGTTATATGTTTACTTTTGTATCACCTCCTCTCGCGACTGCTGCTATATACCCACGTGTGCGGGGGATTTACAAATATACTACCGATCTTTGCACCACGTACATATAAACGATCGATAAATGATAATCGGATGTGTTGCATGTATAACAATGCAGGACAAAAAGGTCCCATTTTGTAGCTCGCCTCAAAAAGGGGGCGGGGGAAAAAAACTTTTTTTTTTCTCCATACACGTGTCGCAAGTTAGCTGCGCATTTTTACACTGCACCTACGGCACCGCAACATAACAGCACACACAGCACGAGAGCCAAGAAAGAGAGAGAGAGAGAGAGAGAGAGAGAGAGAGAGATAACGAACAATTTCTACTTTGTCCCCCGAAAGATCGCGCGGCCTGCAGATTTTAATCTCTCCCTTCCTCCAAAGCTCTCGCGTTTTTGTTATTATCGTATAGCTGTTGTTGTTGCGATTAATATTATTCAAGCACGACTTTCGCGAAAACGAAGGTGAGAGGGGTTGGGGGGGGGGAAAGGGCCGTTCCTCATGCCTTGCCCGTGTATTATCATTATTATAATAACAACAAGAGCATGTGAGCGCGCGTGGATATTATAAATATATTGCGCAACAAGTAAGGCGTGAGGCGAGCCACTATTACATATATTATACATGCGCCCGAAGAGAACGAGAGAGTCCCCTGCCGGCGCGATACCGATCTTTCCACGTATATATATTTATATGTTATGTGTGTGTGTGTACGCGGGCATTATCGCCTCTCCCTCTCTCCTTTTTGGCTCCCTAGGCCTCTCTCTCTCTCTCTCCCATACACGTATACACAGTCGTTGTTGCACTTTTTTTTTGGTTCGACGTTTCGTACATTGTTGGGTCTATATGGGCACCGCAGAGGGGTACGCGCCTCCCCCCCCCCCTCGGTGTCGCAACGTGCACTTTGGTGTGTAGAGGGTAAATTAAGATGTTTTTGCGTAATTAAGTGCGCCCCGCTTATTAGGTGCCACGCGGAATTGTTCGCGGGAAGGGGTATACATACACGCGGATCGTAGAATTTCGCGTGTACAATGTATACCATTACGTGCAATTAAGATTCGTCGGGCAGGATTATAAGCAAATAAAAGACTAATTAAACTCTCGTTGCTCTCGGGGTGTACGTTGTAACTAGCGTTTTTGTGTACGTTTGTTATTATTGGATAACAATTATTTCGGGGTTTTGTAATATTATTTCATGAGCCACGCGTCTACAAGTGCATTTCGGGAGAAGAAAAAGAAAAAAAAAAAAAAAAAAAAGGATCGAGTAGAGATATGAATCTACACGGTACACGCGTGTGTTTTCGCCGAAATTCCGAGCTGCCCTTACACAAAATCTTGCGAAAAGCTCTATTTTTTTTTTTTTTTTTTTTTTTTTTTACCCTCCCGCCAGCTCGCCCATCGGTGTGTATCATATATGGATTATGGGTCATATAGATCGCGATAAATCTCCAATGGCGCTCCTATCTCGCCTAAGATCTCCGATGTGGGCTTATGGCGTACGGGCTCTTTGCTCGAGGCCGATGAAATTTTCAGCCCCGGAAACGCTGTTTGCGTCGTAACGCTGTATTGTACGTGTTTATAAAAGGTTAATCGATAGATATTATTATTTTTTATTTTTTCCCCTCTTTTTTGTACCGAAACCGCTCTCGGACAGCCCGTGGCGTGTATATGCATGCGGTGCATTTAGGCGACATCGGGAAACCAGAGCACTTGCGAAAGGTACACGCGCGGTGCCCAGCTGTGAATTCGCAACACGTTGTTCCTTCTCTCTTTTTTTTTTTTTTTTTTTTTCTTCATCAGAGCCAGAGGAATTTTTGGTTCGCCGAAAACTTGGACCAATATGACGTAAATCGGCTGTACAAGCGTGGAAAAGAACGCCTATACTTCGAGAGACTCTTAGATTGTTTTCAAGAGTAATTTTCAATACCGAGACCCGAAAATTTGGACAACAAGTCTCGTTGCGTTTATCTCGGACATGCCCAATAATCACGTTTTTACTATATTGACCGAATGAAACGTATCATTTATCCAATTAATTTCAAAATTCATGTAATTCCAAGATGTTGTTTCTTTGAATTATTCATCAAAAGGCATTAAAACAATTGTGTCGAGTATACATTTATCTTCCCTGTATCAAATAGTATAGATTATAGCCATAACTTACGGTTACCGTAAAAATGTTCCGAGATCCGAGATAAAAAAAAAAAATTCGTTATATCGAACACAGTCTCGAGAGGACCCACAGTTAAATTATCAAAGAAAAGACGAGCATGTATACATATAGAGCTGCGGTAGATAATCGGGGACCAAAACGCGGGTTGTATCGGTTGTGCGGTCATTAGCGATCGATCGGCCGGTGTGTGTATGTGCGACGGTGGGGGGTTCTTCGAGCGGAGAGACACGACTCGAGAGTGAGACGCTTCGGAGCCGCGCCCACCGCGAGGCGGACGTCGCGCGCCTCGTTATCTGGGGCGTCGGATCGACTTTCCGCGCGGACGACAGCCTCCTTCCTCTGTTTTCTCGTTTCTCTCCAGCAAGTGTATCCATACATGTATATGTACACATTTACGGTGATTAACTCTCTCGGGTCTCGTCTTGGTGTACCCCGTGGCAAACCCACTGATTTTCGGATCGAAAATATTTTTTTTCTCTCTAGGAAAAAAAAAAAAAAAAAAAAAAAAAAATACATAGGAGGGGCGGTTGCCGAAAAGCAACCGCGAGACACGTCCTCGCCGGAGGAGCCAATTAAACGGCTAATTAACTGCGCTCTCGGACCTTATCAATTTCACTTACGTACAGGAGTACAGAGCACAGACTCACGCGATTTGTTTGAGTCTAGTTTTTTTTTTTTTTTCCTTTTGTTTTTCGGTAATAGCTGATGTATCGGTATTAAGGTCGAGTCATTTTTATCCTTCCCTTTCTCCCACGCTTACACACGCGTATACATGTATAATAGGCACATCAGATACAGGGGGTAAATGTATATATAAGTATAGTCCATGCGGTGCAGTCGCCTAATTGTCGAGTCGCCGCGGCTACCGTATTACACATGAGAGATTGCGAAACGCGACTTTGCTCCGTTCATGCAGAGAGAGAGAGAGAGAGAGAGAGAGAGATAGAGTGACTTTGTCGTTCTTACATTATTTTCTGTCACGCGTATATATTTCCATATATATACTTATTGGGGAGAAAACAAAATTCGCGAAATATGTTATATATGATCTATACCTGTAATGCGTGTGTGTATACATTTGCTCCTTTGTTTCGTTGTTGCAGGTTGTCCAGTTGAAATCACTTGGCCGGAGGACATAGTGCTTTCATGCCAGTAGAACGAGGCCGGCAGCGTCAGTCCTGGTCGGCCGGGAAGCACAGGCACAGGCTCAAAGGGACTTTATGCAGGTACCCGCGTACATAGTGACGAAAGTGTGAAAAACAAAGGTGAAAATTGTGAAGAAAAAAAAAAAAAAAAAAAAAAAAAAAAAAAAAACATAATGAACTTAAGCTTAGAGAGCCAGTGTTATTTGAAAATTGTTTCGGTGCGAAACCGCAGTCAAAAAAAAGTAAAATAAAAGAGGAGAGAACAGGGAGGACGAAGCAGGGGGGGCACACAGAGCGAGGACCACGGCAGAGATTAAGCGCGAGGAGCCGAGCGCTAGGGCGAGGAGGGGCCGGTGGCTGGAATCGACGCTGACTTACATCGGGGGCGCCGACCTGCAATCAAGGTTCATGGTTTTCATGGTAAGTTTGCATCGTCTCATTTTTTTCTTTTCTCATTGATACGTTCATGCCCAAAAGGACATATAACTTGATACGTCTCATCCGATGCATCCACTCATCGTCCCCGGGAAACCGGAATAAGGGAAGAAAAATTAAAAAAAAATAACTTAATCTACAAGCCCTCCTGCACGTTTACTTACACATGCGTGCAGCCTCAACCCTTTAAAAAACGCGCATCTGCTTTATTATGCTCCCAATAGGTACCTGATGCACGCCTTCGAGATGGAATAAAAAAAAACAGAAAGAGAGCTCACCTCGTATGTGTGTACATTACGTGGACAAGTTGACGCTGCAATTGGCAGCTCGTACAAGCCCCCTTAAAAAAAAAATCGAGCTCGTTTAAAAAAACTTTAATCACAACGGGGACGAAAAATGAAAAAAAACAAAAAAAAAAAAAAAAAACGAGACGCGTTGCGCCGAAAATCAATTGAACAAGTTGCGCGGGCCAACTCGTTAATCACTGCTTTTATCCCCTTTCGGATGGCAATAACGATACAGTATTTGTCATTCATAAGCTGTTCTCTGTCTTACAGCTAATGTATAAATAATTCTGCAAACGCACCAAGCGCAGCTTCCCCCGTACCCCCGATACCATGCAATTTGCAATCGATCAATCGTATGTACAAGCTTATACGCTATTATATAACAATATAAGCGAAGCAGGGTGGGTCGCAAGCAAATTTTTTCGTCCCCTCTTCGCCATATACCGATACAACCCCCTAACGATCTCTCCTGAGACAAATAAGCGACGCAGGGCCCATTCGTTTCTACATGTGAAACTGCGATAAAACACCACCTACCACGCGCTGCTGCGGGGAGGGCTCCTTTCACGCGCCGTCCTGCGTATAAGCCGCTCATCTTGATGCAACAGAGTCGAGATGAGGAGCGACAGAAAAAAATTACCTACCCCCTCCCCCGGCCCTTTTGGCATGTAACGCGGAAGAGGTGTACGCGCGTGCGGTAACAAATGAGAGAAAACGAGACGGAGCAAACAGCAGCCCCGAGGCCATCGGTATGTATGTATATATATAAGAGCTCTCGTTCCCGTTTTTATTGATTCGCGCCCCGGTGCCAATGAGTGCTGCCCCACCCCCCACCAGCCGGTATCTCGTTGTCTTATCGCGTATAGGGATGGCGTTTATTTCGATTAATTCCGAGCGGCGATCGGTTATCTCTCGACCCTGCCACCGCAGAGAGAGAGAGAGTAGAGGCTTTTGCCCCTCATTGGCGGCGTTTGAGGAGGAGGCTCTGTTATTACGCCCGACTTTGCCGGTGGTTTTTTGCCACCGCGGTAATTTACGACGGGGCAAGTATATGCATACTTTGCGACGCGGCCGAGGATTTTCTTTTATTGTTGTACACCGCGGCACGGCCCCGTATAAGCCCGAAAATAATGAGGCCCGATCTTGGGGGTATAATATAAGCTCGGCGGAGCTTGGCTGGCGATACACGCGTTTGTCATTTTTCGGTGCGGGTGTATCAGCGGGATCCGACGCCTCGGCGCGCCAGTACGGGTTAAGAAGCTGATATGTCCAATAGCTCATGCGGACGGTGATAAATGAGGAGGAGGGAAGTAGCTTTTTTTTTTTTTTTTTTTTTTCTTTACTTTTCTTTTTCCCACCCAAACATGTAAAGCTGTGATTAGTACATGAAAATTTTTCCGAGAAAACGATTACAGTATATACCTGCGGCTTATACGCGGATAAACTGGAAATCCAATTGGAGGGTTATCGCTGTACACCCCTGCAAGTTGACGGGATGTAAAATTGTGAAAAACTTTTTTTCCATTTGTATTAGTGAAATTATCAATATTTTACCCAATTTTACTGTGCACGTTTTATTATTTACGAGGTTCGACAATGTTATAAAAAAGAACAATCACACGTGAATGTGTAACATGTGTATAATAGCGTTGCAGCGATTGAAATAACCTGATATAATTGGGTTTGTTTAGTGATGGCTCTTCTTATTGATCGAGTAATCGTGTAATGCATCTATTCGTCATATCCCAAGCATTGGCCCTTTTTTTTCCTAATCAACCCTCCCCCAACTACATATTAAAAGGTCCCTTTCGGCACAAGCATCCCATTATTACCGCTGCCCTCCGATCTTCTCACCTCCTCCTTCTTCTCCTTCTCCTCCTCCTCCAACTGCGCGTCGCTCGTATTTGCACTCGAAAAGAAAAAAAAAAAAAAAAAAAAAAAAAAAAGGGACCCTATATAAGCTCGGGTAAGAAATTCCAGGTGGGTGTTCCTCCTCTTCTCGTTCTTTCGGAGAAGCGCGCATTAATAACCATCACCGCGTGTCCAAGCCATACCATCGGGTGTGGTCGTGCGAACATATGAAAACTGCACCGGTCGCGCCCGCGCCAGTCGAGAGTCGCCTCGTTTTACGAGACTATACCCCACCCCCCGTACTTACTGTATAGTATATACAATTATGGTAACTCGAGCTTACGCGAGTTTTTACACGCGTGTACTTATATGCTATTGAATTACTCTTTTTTTTTTTTTTTATATATCTTGTATATAGGCGTAAGTGATACCAAGGGACCGTTCTTGACGCGCTTCTCGTCGAGTCGATGACACATTCGGCTGGTTCGCCTTTTTTTCCGTTTACGCTATACAAACCCACATACATGTATCGTATATACTCTGTTTCGTGAACATAAATTATCGACGTTTATAAATATATACAAAAGAGAGGGAGGCAGGGAGGTGGCACTTTCATATAAATCGCGGGCGGTAAATAATCGGTTCCCAACCGATACGGGCGGGCTTGGATTTGCGCGAAATTTCATTCCCAAGCTCCATTGTGTCGGAGTAATCCCTTTTTTGGGGGGTTTAAAAGGCCGAGCTTACTCGCGAGGGACGGTGTTGCGGAAAAGAAATTCGCGGGTATGCATATAAATACCAATTAGCCGGGATATTGGGGTGCAACGGGAAAAAAAAAAAAAAAAAAAAAAGGAGTATGTATAAGGGAACGATGAGATGTGGTATGATTTATCCCGAAAAGCTTCGGGGGGGGAGAGGGACCGAAAGTGATAAAGAACGGGGGGGTCGAATAAGCCCCGCGATTCCGTCGTCTCTCGTTCTTAATTATCCCTTCGCAGGCAATAAATAATCGATGGTTAGCTCCGGAGCTCGCAAATCTCGCGGCCGGCGGGCCGATTTATCGCGCAATCAAAGCGCCGCCCTCGCTTTTTCTCGCGCTCCTCATCGGCTATACATATATACATATGCTACTTTCTACCAGCACCACCATCTCTTTTTTGGCGAATTATTCTTTTTTTTTTTTTTTTCTTCAACTACTTTTCTGCGCATGTGTTGGTCAAATTAACAAATAAAGCTCCGCGTCGACAATGCGTGAACGTATACAATCGGAATATATTGGTTTTTTTTTATCTTTGGTGTAATTTACTATACATATGCACAATCATCTTGTTACAAGGTCAAAATATAAGTACTTAATGAAGGGCATCAGAATACGTCATTTTACATATATAACAGTGCAACTATACTGGTTAATGCAAATCATCAGTTGTTTTCAGATGATGTATAACGGGCCAATGAAGAATGGTGCACTTGAATAAAAACCATACGATATCCATCTCGTACCAATATTCAGACAAGTTAATTATCTTACCTATCTGTATAACACAGCTTCCAGGTTGACCGCGCACACACAGTTTACAGAAATGCTCGATTTTATAAAACTGCACGATAATAGTCATCCAAGAGGCCGTAAGTAGTATTTCTCTCCCATTGAAAACTAAACACTCGTTGATTTGTCCCCTGTTGCGAAAACTTCTTTTCAGTTCGATTCGTTTCGGTTCCGTTCCGTTCCGATTCCCAAATACGCTCACCACCCCAAACAGAAACGTTCCAAACTTTGCAAACAATTAGTCACAACAACAACTGCACTGCATTCATGCAAAATTGTAGATCACTTGTTCGAAAAAATCTAATCTGAACAAAAATCCTCTTCCGTTGGCTTATGTATATCTATATATATACATGTAGCCTCATTCGATCAACCGTCAACCCGTTCTTCGAGCATTTAGTTTTTTCGCACCGCTCCGTGGCAACAATCTCCTGCCGTCCACTGCGAAAACGAAGCATCAAGGATGCGTCAATTAAGGAGATTACTTTGTTCTTGTAAGATTTTGCTCCGATTTGTCCCCCCGTGTCCTTCTTCGAACCGTAAGTACAGATACATATATGCACTAAAACTATCGAGACTCCGAGAGTCACAGTTGACGATCATACGTATTTGTATAGTGATTATCGATCGCAAGAGCGCTGTTCAGTCACGTAATCACTCGAGGTACAAATACCCCGACATTGTGCATGTTAACAATCGGAACTTTAGTACTCAAATCTTGGAGGTTATGTCATCCGCAAAGAACAAGTATGGATGAGAAGATGCCGGTTCTTTGCAGCGCTTCTTCTCCGCAATCTGTTAAAAATAATGCCAACGGTCTCTTCTTTATTCGTCGCGTTCAACATGAATGATCAATTATTATGTCGTAATCGTACACTCAATGGTCCCAAGATCCTTGATAACGTGAGTACCTGATTATCTTTTAGCAATAGATTTGTGCATGATTTAGTCCCACCTGATTGAATTACTTTAATTTTATGAATCATTTGATGTTAATGATGATAAAAACTGTAGTATTCTACAGAACTCACACATATCTTACTTTTAGGCTTTTGAACTTTGACAATATTGTTGAGTACCAGTTGTTAATGCCAAACTTTGTCATTTTCATAGTTAATGCAACAGAGAAATGAGTACTTTGTATTATTTTAAATGATTATGACCCAACTTCGAATTTAAAATGCGTAATGCTTGGTTCAATAGTCAAAAAAATCCAAATTTTGTACTTTTTTTCACAGTTTGATAAATACTTCCTTCTACCAAATGTTCAATCATACAAAAAGGTTTTTTCGCACATG